GGGAGAGGATAGATATTATATATATATATATATATATGTATATATATTCATAAGGAATATATATAAATACTATCCATAAAACAGTACAAATAGCTGAGATGACACAATAGAATATATATTGGCTGGACACACAAACCAGCTCCTTAAAAATATACTGTTTATTTGTTTTTTACTGTGACAATGCTTATATACTTTGTGATCATTCACTGTGCTCAAATTTATGGCATGTGGTTTCTACTTCAGTAAACGCCATAAAAGTTTACATACCCAAGTACGTCAAGACAGGACCTAACTTCCTGGGAGACTGAAGTAACTTGGCCTAGTTTCAGTACTTAGTTAATGCTACAATGATCTTCATGATGCTAGTCATTTTTTTCTTTGAAAAGATAGGCATATTTCACTTTTTTCCCTACAGGGCAGTACAAACTGGGCATTTTTGAATAACAATTGCATGATTATATAAAACCCTAGCTCCCCTTACCATGAAGCAGGAATTAATAAGTCATTGAATTTGCCGTACAGTAGCGTTTCATACAGATGGAAGCCTCACAGTTGCGTTTTGCATAAGATGAATAAACAAAGAATCAAAGAGCAAGGGGTATTAATATTTTAAGTATGATATTTAATTTGAAAAGCAGAACAGGGAGACATTAGCATTGGAAGCAGAGAGGGGAAAATGTCTGGGTGAGAAATGGAGGGTAGACGTCATTTAAAATGTGGGCTAGGTAAGAATACAAATAAAAGGAATTCTGGTCTTACTGGACAAACAGCTGCACTAACGGGGCGCAAATGGTGACGTCATCTTTCATGGGCCAGTTCTTCAAGAAGCATAGTCGATGGGATAGAGGTTTCCCAGAGTCGATCCGCATTTTATTTGCCTTACTTCTGTATTTGCAGACTCCTTTGCATTGAAGATAAATAGCAACCAAGGACAGCTTCACCTTAGGAAAGTCCCTTCAAAAACTCTGTTTCTCTTGATACGGGTGGCAAGATCAGGGATCACATATGGACACAGAACAAAGATTTTCCAAGCAGAGGGAAAAGCAGCATGTGTGGAAGAGTTATTACTTCCCAGAGAATATTTGCCTATATCTGCTAACTTTGGATCAGAAAGAGTCGTGAACTTTCAGCCAAACAAAGAGAAAGGGGGAATTGTCCTGACCATCTAGCAAAATATGAACTGAATGAGCCTTCCAAACCCAAGAACAGGGCTCTGCTCACAGGCTCTCTGTGGGATCATGGACAGTGACTTGAAATGCAGGTCAAAAAACAGGATTGCAATCATTTGAGGGTTCATAAAATCTTAAAAGAAAAGAAACAGGTGAACAAAAACTCCATCATAAAAAAAAAGTCCTGCGGATGTGAGAAGTGCGCCTGGAGACATTTCAAA